AGAGATAAAATCATCACAGGCGAAGTATGCACTCCATACATCAGCTCTGAAGACCAACTAGCAGACATCTTTACAAAAGGGCTAAACCATTCCAAACACCAAGGTCTCTGTGACAAGTTGGGCATGATTGATATCTATGCCCCAACTTGAGGGGGAGTGTTGACAGGTGTATTATATGTATTGTACGCAGGTTTAGTGCCCGTAGGGGTATTTTTGTAATTTTGTAGACCTCTTGTGTTGTACGGCCAGTATAGTATAAATACAAATGCTTCACTTGACTGAAGTAGTTCTTTTGAGGCCTTAACTCAGTAGCCTCTTCTTTCTTCTTCTTCTTCTTCCTTCTTTCCTTTCTTCTTCTCCTACTCAACAAATCCTTGCCAATGCAACTCTTGTCCAAATTGAATTTCAGATTTGACACTTTTTCAAACTTTTTGATTAGATTTTTCATTCTCCCGACTTTCTTGATGTCTCCCCCTTCACAAAAAAATAATGGTATCATCTGCAAATTGGAAATGAGTAATTGGTACGTTGTCTCTACCCACTCTCCAACCCCTAAAGTCATCTTCTTTGTCTGCCTTAGAGAGGAGTCTATTAAAGGCATCTGCCACTAAAGTAAAAAGGAAGGGTGAGAGGGGATCACCTTGCCTTAACCCTCTACAAGTTGGGAAGAAGTCTTTTACCACTCCATTAACAAGGATAGAAAAATGACAAGATCGTACACACCCAAGCATCCAATTGCACCATCTCTCCCCGAACCCCCGTTGATGCAAAACTTCTTTCAAAAAACCCCAATCCACCATGTCATAGGCCTTTTCTAAGTCCAATTTGCACACAAAACCTTCCTTCCTAGATCTCTTCATCTCTTCTACACATTCTTTGGCTATTAGAATTTGATCAACCATTTGTCTCCCTTGAACAAAAGCTCCTTGATACTGACTAATGAGAAAGGGGAGAATTACTTTGATCCTCATTGATAGGACTTTAGCAATTATGTTGTAGACACTGGTCACTAGACTAATGGGTCGGAAATCCTTTGGATGGCTAGCATCATCTTTTTGGAATAAAGGCCAAGAAAGTTGCATCAACTCCAAGGCTAACAATATGTGTACTTGGGAATTCCTTAGAGATTTCAAGTAAATCATCTTTCAACACTTCCCAACAATCCTGATAGAAATCCATTGTGAATCCACCTGGGCCCAGTGCTTTAACCCTATTCATGGAGAACACTGTCTTTCTTATTTCTTCTTCCTCAAAATCTCTTTCTAGCCAATTTGCTGCCTCCTCATCTAGTAAAGGCCACTCCAATCCTTCTAAACTCAAACCTAGCCACAAAGTTTTTGTGCCTTCTTCCATTGGTGATCGCATGAAAGAATTTTATCCATTTTTGTCTTGACTTTTGTCTCCAAGATATTTCCCCTCTCTTATGGATTTCTTCCAATTCTTTCTTTGATTTCCATCTCAAGTCCCACTCTTCCGCATGGAGGTTTCTCTCACTTTCCACATTGTCCAACTCTTCAATCTAGGAAATTAGAGTCAGTTTCCTTTCTTCTAATCTTCCAAAATGATCCCTATTCCACTCCTGTATTTTAGATCTTAATCTTTGCAATTTCTTATGGAATTTGATTCCTTCCCACTTTATTCCCCTTAATTCCTCCTTCAACCATTCCTCCACTTTCTGAATAAAATCCGGATGCGTCAACCACATGTTTTCAAATGTGAAAGGAGTAGGGCCACGTAAAAAGATTTCTTTTCCTAATCTAATGGGGTGATGATCTAAAGTGACTCTAGGCAATTCTTTGGAAACCAAACCTTCCCAATGATTTTCCCACCCTATATTGAACAGAAATCTATCCAGTTTTGAGCATAGTGAGTTTTCCTAAATATTGGACCAAGTGAAATTGGTTTGCAACAGGGAGATCTCTTTCAATTCACACATGTCTATGAATTCATTAAATTTCCTCATACTAGTGGTAATAGACTGATTGGGAGTAGAAGTTTCATTGGAAAATCTTATCACATTGAAGTCCCCTCCCAAACACCAAGCACCTTCCCACAAACCTCAAATTGCATACAGTTCCTCCCACATACCACTTCTCTCTCTATAACTATTTGGTCCATAGACACTAGTTAACACGCAATTGAATCCATCTTCCACACTCTTGAATTTTAATGATATTGTATACCTACCTATCAATTCTTCCATTGCTTCGAGCACTTCATCCTTCCACAATATCACTATACCCCCTGAAGCCCCCCAAGATGGAGCCTCAACCCATCTTATTCCTCTCGATCTCCACAAGCTACTGATCAACCTTCAATCCAGTTCTGTTAATTTGGTCTCTTGCAGCATTACCACATCAGGATCCTCTCTTTCTATTAGGCCTTTTATACACTCCTTTTCCTCGCACTCCTCAAACCTATTACATTCCAACTGATTAATTTCATGTTTTCACCTTTTAATTTGAACCGTCTTTTTATTCTTCCCTCCCTACTTTGGTTGCTTCCGTCTATCTCCTCTCCCACTAAATTCGATATCACCCTCTACATCAAAGATCAACCTTTCTACTTCTGTCTTTTTCTTCTTCCGCTTTTTGTTTTTTTTTTTCTTCACTCTTTCTAGAATACATCTTTGTCTTTTGAATTCCTTGATCTTGTGTATTCTCCCTTCTGATTGGGCCATCATTTTCTTGCACACCCTCCTGACTTATCTCTTCCTTTTTTTTTACAATCATCAAGGAACTCACTGATTAGGCCCCAAATCCTTTCCACCTCCTCTTCCCCCCCCCCCTCCTATCTTCTACCTCTCCCTCTTTTAATCTCACAATCCCATCTCCACCCTCACTCCTTAACCAATCAGGCTGGGTAGCTAGCGTACCTATTTCAGGAAAAGCACACATACCAGCAGCCAAAACTTAAAGGACACGCTTACTTGAAGATGTTGGACGAGGATCAGAGACAAGTGTGGTTGGGAAGTGGGATTATTAACAATTCTGAAATTTGCCTGTATTGAGTGGGAGTGGGATTATTAACAATTCTGGTTGCGTCAATAACCTTTTCAAGTACACCCTTCTCTATTGCCTCCATACTCATCTTCAAAGTCTCCTCTTGACTCACTTCCTGTGCATATTGTTCTTGCTGGAACACTAGAGGTAATCTCTCTAAGTCAGGGGAGGGTGCCGTTTGCTCAACTTCGACTGCATGCACTGCCCGCCCAGATTCCTTTGTTTCTTTTGTATTGATCGACTTTTCCTTTTCTTCTCCCAAGAACAATTCTTCAGTGTTGAAACTCTCTGCTTTGTTCATATCAATCCACACTATTTGATCTATGCTGCCCAAGCTTGAGGATTAACTAAGTCTGAATTGTCCTCGTTGGAACTCTCTTCAAACTCTGAATCTGGGTCCTGCACCTTCTCCTTACCTTTACCATCGCATCTATTAAATTTTGGGTTTCGCTTTTCAGGAGAAACCAGAGTTTTCCCTTTACTCTGTACCCAGATCATCAACGAACACTGCCTCTGATATTTTCGGTTTCCTTTTGTCACTGACTTGATCGAAGAGGAAGAAGATGGACCAAAATTATCATCCATCAATGGGCTGTCCTTAGGACTCATGTGCCCTTTAAGTATGTCATGTGCCGCTGCCCTTTGAGGCCCAACAGCTGGGCCCAAAGTATGTTTCAAGGTACCCAACCTGTGTCAAAAACCTAGGTCCATTTTTCTTATTACCCATCACGTGATTACTTAAAGTGCCATGTGATGAGTTATTAACCTTTGAATTTGGGATTGTTTCACATGTAGAGGTCCATTGGTCAGAACCTCAGCATAAAACCAGCCGTGTGTCTCATCCCTTCCTTTCCTTTCCTTATAAACTTCTTCCTCTTTTATTTCATCTTTTCCTCTCCACAGATTTTGCTTTCCTATTTCAGTGTAATTTCCTTTCTCCTTTCCTGCATCCACTTGACTTCTTCCACATAACCATTCTTCTTCTACCTTCTCATCTTCTTCCCTTCTTCCCTCCCTCCATAGCTCAGCTTCAATGACTGTAACTAACCAGGCTGAATAAAAGATTCCATCAACCAGTACCTTTACTGAACGTGAGATATCTTCCAAGTTTACATTACTCAAAACATACTGCAGCTGAATGGAGGTCTCTAACAAAAAAGCCCTCTAACCTTGCTCTGCACAGAGTTGCTATTGAAACAAAAACATCTGAAATCCATAGGTGAAACGGTAGCCCCAAGATTCAAACAATTACTTTGTCCCTCGCGTGCAGATCCTTAGAGTTAGAATGAGGAGTCCATTTTCAAACAGTCACAGAGGCTGGCTCCAATTGACAACACATAGACTGGAGTTCCATTTTACCCCCCCCCCTTAACTCCTTATTCCACCACTCCTTCACTTTAGCCTCAAATTCTAGATGTGTTAACCACATATTTTCAAATAAAAAGGGCCTAGGACCATTGATGAAGGATTCTACACCTATCTTAATTGGACAATGGTCAGAAAAGAACATTTTGCTACCACATTCAATAACTCATATAGCTTAAATTGAAAAAAAAAATGAATTAGAGACATGATATATATGAAACTACAAATAAGAAGATAGCATTATTTTGAACCCTAGAAACTACCTACTCTAAAGTGGCTAAATTGGAAATTAATATTCCTCGATAATAAGTCCCCACTGACCATTAGTCTGTGACTTAGTTGCTCCCAATAAATGGCACTCTTTATTGTTAGTAAGATAATCAGGAAAATGCATAAATGGTGAGAACTTACTTGTATTTGACCTCTGTTCCCGGCAGTGATATTTGAGATTGTCCAACACGCTTCCTTCTTGATACTTTTTTTGTGATTTTGTGTGAGAAGTTGATAGAGACAGGGGAGAACTTGGTTGTCAATTACAAACTGGAAACATAATTAGTAAATCCTTTTCTCATCAATAGAAGATAGACAATACATAACAAATATATGCATGTTGACCCAGTGCATGCACAAATGCATCTATGTATGCAAGCATCAATATGCTCATGTACATTTATGACAAACAGAATTCATTGAAAAGGGAGCAAATGCACAAACAAAAGTCCGTGTCTAAATTTTCAACCACCAATAGAAGGTAAACAATAAATAACAAATATATGCATGTGCATCCAATGCATGAACAAATTCATCTGTGTGTATGTGAGCATCGGCATGCTCATGCACATTTATAACAAACAGAATCCATTGAGAAAAGAACAAATGCACAAACATCAGTTTCATGTCTATTAGAATTTCAACCACCAATAAGAGTTTAACAGAGATTTTTTGGGTACCAATTAACAAATGAAGTCCTTAAAGCATTTGCTAGTCAAGAAGAGGATTACTTCACTGGCTTTTCCCAGGATGTGCCTTTATTTCAGAAGATGGTATATCCCCATAAGATGGTGCACATACACCCCCACAACTTCATCAATGATAACAAAATAACCAAGAACCCGGACTCTTCTTGGAGTGTTTGAGGAAGTAACATTTCTGATGAAAGTGCCCTTCTTGTTGTCGGCTACATGAATCCTATTCTGCCATTCCATTCTATTCAGTGCTATGGGCCCTAAAATCATTTCTCACTACTTCAACCAATGTCCTTTTCAATCTGCCACTAGATTTTCTAGCCCCTCCAACTTGTAACAGATTACTTCTTCATGGTGATGTAGATAAGTAGATGGTCCTCTCTACACATGCCTAAACCATCTTTTTTTTTTTTGATAGGTCACATGCCTAAACCAACTTTTTTTTATAGGTCACGTGCCTAAACCATCTTAGTCTACTTCCCTTCATTTTATTACCTATTTGAACTACTCTTAGGATCTCCTCCAAACAAGTTCATTTCTGATCCTACCCTTTCTAGCTTTCCCACTCATCCATCTCAACATTCACATTTCTACCACATTCATTTTTTGGACATATTAGTGACTGCCAAACACACTGTGCCATACAGCATTGCTAGCCTTATAGCCGTTTTATAAAAATTTCCTTTTAGCCTTTGTATTCTCCTATCGCACAAGACTCTGGATGCACCAATCCATTTTGCCCATCCTACTTTGATTCTATGGGTGTTATCCTCCTAAATCTCTCCCTTGTGGATCATTGAACCAAAATAGCGAAAGAGGTCAGATTGAGCATAGATTTCATGGCACCAAGGCAAAGCTAGGCGAGATGGGCCTATCAGCTAGTCAGGCTATGGATTGTTTTAAGGGAAAATCTATGATTACAGAAAGATATGGTATCTGAAGAGCTTTGACCAATCAAAGCACCCCGTGAATTTTGACTAATACCACCTAATTGGTCATATCTTTTATGATGCCAGTTGATTGGCTGTTAGTTTTTTCGATATCATGCCTTTCCGGTATCATAGCTGAACCTTTTTTTTAAATAAAAAACATAAGTCTTAGGGTAACCCAAGGTTCCATAGAAACCAGTGACCATCTGCCATTAGTAATTATCTATAATCTTCAAAAAAAAAAGTAAAACTTCAAATTAAAACATAAAAAATCAACATATTCATGAGGAAAAAAGAAACGACATAAAAATCAGAAAATATAATGAAAAGAAAGGGTGGAAGAAGAATGTGTTGATTAGACAAAATTTTAAGTTCATTCATTTAACAATGGATATGGCATTAAACAAAACAGAAAGGCAAAACAGGATTCATGTATAAGGTTGGGATAAGGCTTGGATGATGATAATAGGCTACCAACCTTTTTTTGGATCAGTAACTATCTAAAACTTTACTTAATTAATCAAGAAACAAGTTACAATGTAGAAACAGGGCAGCAGGCCTCAGCTAACCACCGCCTTTGAATCCTTTAATTACAAGTTCCCTTAGGCATAACCCCCATTAACTACTTCAATCTAAAGATGAAGAATCTCCCCCCCCCCCAAAAAAAAAACCTTAAGTTAACAAAAGATATAAAGAGTTCTCAAAATTTGGAATTCCATTCCACTTTTCCCAGAAAAGACAAAAAAAATCGAAAGTTTTAGTTTTACAATAGCCACTCTAAATACTATATGAAAGTTGATCCTCTAATAGTTGATTAATCAAAGCATTCATAGAATCTACTTATCAAAAAAAATATTCATAGAATCAGGATAAAGAACAAGATGGTCTAAATGGAAAGCCCGTTGTTTATACATTCAGAGAACAGGATCAATGGTCCCAAGGGTCATGGTTTTATGGATATAGAAATAACTGAACTTGTGGTTATGACAAGCACATGAAGAAAGCCTAATAAAAGATCCAACATGGAGAACTAATGAAAAGCCCAAATATTGGCAGCTTATGATGCAGAAGAAATTTAATTTTGTAAAGTCCAATTTCTCCCACCCAAAGAAAATTATACTACTTGCCAATATTGAGTTTTTTAAACTGATTTTGCAATTTTAGGATTTCAATTTGAAATGATTTCCCTGAAACTACATGTGGAACTATACAGGGTAAAAAAGAGTTTCTTTAGAATTCTTTAGTTCTATTGTTCTTTCAAGTATTTCCAACAATGGGGGTGAAGTTGATCATCTTAAAAGTCTTTAGGATTGAAAGATAACATACACAAGTCACAAGGTAGCCAATAATGCTCTAATGAAGAATAACAAAATTTGAAATAAAAATAGCTTTGGCTCAGGTACATCAAATTTTCAAGGATACATTTCTTCATTTCTTTTAGCAACATTTGACCTATCCACTCCTGTATTTGTCTATTCCTCTCTTTCTTTCTTTTCCTGGAGAGGGTATAGAAAAGAAGCCAATGGTGTAGAAACCCATGAACCAAGAGCCTAAGAGGCCAAAAGAATACAATAACCCCAAAACGCTCTGCACTAGATGACTAGATGCCAATTTCATGAACCCCCATGACATATGCAGCAATCTCCAAGGACCACCAAAGCCTGCTGCCTGGCCAGGCAATCACAAACTGTACTGAGAATACTCTTCCACAATAATACTCCCATAGCAATGATACAAAGAGAGCCTAAGCCTTTTTCTTTTACCAACATTGATTATATTCAGTTTCGTACTACCAATCCCTTGTACAGACTGATTTATGTCTCTTACATCTTCTTTCCTTTTTTGGCTCTTGGGACCACTCTTTTATGTTGTAACTTACGTAGACTATTTTTTGTTTTACTCCTTCTTGTGAGAGAAGGGCACAACTGTCCTTTCCATAACCTTGTACTCGTTATTTTATAAGCTAATCATTTTTGGGTGATTGATTCAAGAGAACAAACCCTTTCATTCCTAGTTCTTCTTCTCTGATTTGAACTTAAGTTGACATGGTATCGGAGCAGGTTTTCTCAACCTGTTCTTGATTGAAATCTGTTTAGGCCTGTGAGATCGACCCATCTACTTCAATTTTGGATCTCGTAGGTTGCACATCTCTGCTGTTCTTTCTCTGGAAGATCGCCATCAGCAACAATGTTTCTTCTCTTTCTCTCAATCGACTACTTCAAACACTGTGAAACTTCAGATCTGAAGTCGCCCAGGTCAGATTTATATAGATCTATATTTTAGTTCTGGTTCAGATTACTTTTAAGGGTGTTTTGCCCTCCTTGTTCAACAGTCCAGAAAACTTGCCTTTTTTGGACTGTTATCAGTTCGAAAACTGTGTGGCTGTTTTTCTATTGGGTTTTGCTTCCTCCTTGTGATGTGTGATTAGACACACATATTTCCTCAAGTTTTGGTTTCTTTTGGACCTTCGGCTGCTCTACTTAGTTTTTTTTTTTTATTCATTGCTGAAATGGCCATGGAGAAAAAGGATATTCTACCAGTAAAGTTCAATGGGACAAACTATGCCTTCTGGATATTCCATTTCCAGTTCTATGTTGAGGGAAATGGCCTATGGGGATTTGTGGATGGTTCCACAAAACAACTTGATAAATCCGACTCCAAGGAGCTGAAACAGTGGAAGATCGACAATGCCAAAGTAGTGTGTTGGCTTCTTGGCTCCGTTGAAACTGAGATTGCTATTCCATTGAGAAATTATCGAACTGCTAGTGAGATGTTCAGTTATATGGAAAATGTGTATCAACAGTCCTACATCTCTCGTCAGTATCAAATTGAGACAGAGATTTTTCTTACAGTCAGGGTAAGAAGAAAATACAGGGGAACTATGCTGGCTTTGTGAATTTGTGGACAGAATATGAATTAGTTCACATGGGTGAAAGCACTTCTGCTTGCTGCATCAAAAATCTGAAAGAACATTTTGATAGGAGGAAGATCATGCATTTTCTGATGCATCTGAGACCTGAATATGAAATTGTAAAGTCCAACATTCTCAGTAGGGGCACTCCTCCCACACTTGACACAGTTTTGGGGGAGCTTCACAGGGAGGAAACTAGACTCATTACTCAATCGACCTTGAGGTCAAAATCTGATTATAGAACAGAGACAACCTTTTTGATAAACAAATCCAAGCCCAAGAAGGACTTGTCCCGAGTACAGTGCTATGAATGCAAGGAATATGGACATGTTATCTCACACCATCGAAAAAAAAAATTCTATTCCTACTGCAAACAACATGGGCATATTATTCCTGAATGTCCTACTCGACCAGCAAAGGGGAATGGCTCAAATTCTAAGAAGAGTCAACATAGGCTTTCCAGACAACAACTGAAGGTGCAGATACAGGGAGTACAGCTTCAGCATGAATGGATGAAAATTCTGGAACTCTTACAGAAGAAAGAATGTGGCAGCTAGTATCCTCAGCTATTTCCTCTACATTTTTATCCATCAGTCTTTCAGGTGAGTCATCCTATTATTGTTCCTCTCCTAGTCAGTTATGGATCATTGATTTCAGGGCCTCTAACCATATGACAGGGGCACACATTGGTCAGTCTGTTAAACCCAAATCTTTGAATAAACATACTATTACTGCTAATGGAGAGAAATTGAATATTGTTGGTTGCAATGATTTGTCTTTGACTACATCTTCAATTCTTGCTTTCATCTACCTAAAACTTTCTTTGTTCCTAAACTTACAACAAATTTGATCTCAGTCGGTCAGCTAGTTGAAGATGGTAACATTGTTTCCTTTTCCCATGATGGTTGTTTGATACAGGACCAACGCACTAGGACGGTGAAAGGGAAGGGGCGTAGACTGGATCGGCTATTTGCCTTGGAATTTGAAGACACCGGGGCCTTCATCCACATCCTGTTTACTTACTACTACCCCTAGTACTGAAGTTATTTGCAGAAATAATGTATGGCACTTGTGGCATAGGCAACTCGGTCACCCCTATGCAAATAAACTTGTCTTTGTTTCATGAAGGCTTTTTGTCTTCCAAAGCTACTTCTTTTAATAATGTTGATAAGGCATGCATTTCTTGTTGCTTGAGTAAGAGCCATGTTTTACCATTTCCTTCAGTTGTTGAACATGTATCTATTCCTTTTAAAATAGTACATAGTGATGTTTGTTCGTCTCCAGTTGTTTCCAAGTTGGGATATAAATATTTCGTTACATTTATCGATGACTGCACTCGCTTTACCTGGATATATTTTTTGGGAAACAAATCTTAAGTTTTTTCTACCTATAGATCTTTCCTAGCAAAGATCAAAAACCAATTTGAGAGACAATGGAATTCAATCCCAGACTCGAGGGGGATTGGAGTTCTCCATTCAGACTCAGGGGGTGAATACCTTGATGGAGACTTTCAAAATTTTTTGAGAGACAATGGAATTCAATCCCAGAGATCTTGTCCTGGCACTCCACAACAAAATGGAGTGGCAAAGCGCAAGAACGGACATATCTTAAGCATAGTTCGGACCCTTCTTCATGATTCCCATGCTCCTACTTCATTTTGGGTGGAGGCAGCCAGCACTGTTGTTTACCTTACTAACATTCTTCCTTCATCTATCTTACATAATACCTTTCCTTTTCAAAGCTTGTTTCACCGTTCACCTGATTTTTCTGCTCTTCATGCCTTTGGTTGTGTGTGTTTTGTTCACCTTCCACCACATGAGCGCACAAAGCTTACTCCCCAATCAGCAATGTGTGCTTTTGTGGGGTATAGCCCTAATCATAAGGGCTTCCTTTGCTATGATCCGAAGTCTTGTCGAGTTCGCGTATCCCACAATGTCATCTTTCTTGAGAACATTTCCTTTTTTGCCCACATTGTTAAGTTGCCTGCTACTTCCATTTCGATGTTGTATTCTTTTGACTTTGCTTGTTCTTCTTATTCACCTTCTATTCCGGAATTGCTCTGTGTCTATTTTAGGAAGAGGCTAGCTACCCTGGCTCCTACCACTCTGGCCCCTTCATCACCAGAAGCTGATCCATTATCTCTACCCACGATTTCTTCTTTGTTTCTTGATCTTGTAAGTACACCTGCACCTATCCGTGATTCTCAACCATCCTCTAATCCCCCTTTACATCGTTCTTCTCGAGTTTCTCGCCATCCTGATCGCTATGGCTTTCTTTCAAACCATAGCTCCTTCTCTGTTGTTTTGTCTGTCACAGATATTCCCATATCATACCAAAAGGCTATGGCTATCCCACATTGGAAAGAAGCCATGGATACTGAGCTCCAAGTTCTTTTGAAAATGATACTTGGGATATGGTTCCTACCCCTCCAGATGCCCCTCTTATTGGAAGCAAATGGGTATATTCAGTGAAACTTAAATCTAATGGGAGCCTTGATAGATACGAGGCACGTTTAGTGGCACAAGGGTATTAGCAGGAGTACAGGATAGATTATGATGAGACATTTGCCCCTATAGCTAAGATGACCACTGTTCGTCTGTTGTTGGCTATATTTGCAATTAAAACACTGGGAGATTCATCAGATGGATGTCAAAAAAATGCTTTCTTACACGGGGACCTCAAGGTAACTATTTATATGAAGTCTCCACCGGGATACTATTGTAGTTCTCCCTTGGTGTGTCGACTTAAAAAGTCATTGTATGGTCTTAAACAAGCCCCCAAGGCTTGGTTTGAGAAATTTCGTTCAATGATCACAAATGCAGGATTTTTTTTTTAGCAGGATTTACCCAAAGCTCTTCAGATTATTCATCGTTCATATCGAGGCATCCCCAAGGAATTACATTATTACTTTTGCATGTGGATGACATTCTTATTACCGGTGATGATAGTCAGGGTATTTCCTCTCTGAAACAGCTTCTCAATCAGTCTTTCAAGATGGACCTTGGTCATCTCACTTATTTCTTGGGTCTAAAAGTTACTCACTCTTCCCATGGGTATTTTGTTAATCAACACAAGTATGAGATGGACCTTGTGAAATCTGCAAACCTGAGTGATGACAAACAGGTTGACACACCTCTTGAGCTGAATCTGAAACTTTCGAATCAGGATGATGGGGACCCCTAGTAGATGCCACTCTTTATCGATAGCTTGTCGGTAGTTTAATCTACCTCACCATGACACGTCTAGATATCTCTTATGTTGTCCAAGTGGTCAGTCAATTTGTCTCTTCTCGACAACCGAACATGACTGCAGTCTTTTGTATTATCAGATACATTCTTGGAACACTTTCACATGGCATTTTTTCTTGCATCTCCTTCACTTAGCTTATCTGCGTATGCAGATGCTGATTGGGCAGGATGCCCAGATACTAGATGCTCCACTACTGGTTAGTGTGTTTTTCTTGGTGACTCTCTTATATCCTGGAAGTGTAAAAAGCAACCAACTGTTTCCAAGTCCTCTACCAAGGCTGAGTATAGAGCTATGTCATCTCTTTGCAGTGAGATTATATGGCTAAGAGCCCTCCTTGATGACCTTGGCATCTCCTTGTCATCTCTAATTCCTATTTATGATGATAATGTGAGTGCCACTACATTAGAGATCAATTGTCTACTAGACACATATCTCTGCCATACGTGTCTTCTGCCCTACAGCTTGTTGACTTATTAACAAAGGCTATGACTCGTGCTCACCACCAGTTTCTAGTTGACAAACTGAGCTCGTACCTAGTTCTTCTTCTCTGATTTGAACTAAGTTGGCATCCCTTTCTTTCTTTAAGCAACCTGGAGGTGGGGGGATAGAAGTGCAAATCAAAGGCCTAAAGAAACCCATGAACCAAGAGCCTAAGAGGCCAAAAGCATTTGGGGGCATGCTACCCCCCCTCCCCCCTTTAGTAGCAAATAACCCCAAGTAACTCGAATCTAGATGCACTTCATGAAGTCCCCTAATATAATGCAGCAATCTACAAGGAATACCAAACCTATTGCCTGCCCGAGCAATCACCAACTGAGAAACCCCTTTTCAAACAATACTCCCATAGAAAATCCAAGAAGACTCATATATCAAGGAATGACTAGAACCACCAAATTTCTCAAGATAGAGTATTTAGACTCAGATGTCAAGAAATGATAAATGTTCAAATGAACAAGGCAACCAAACTACATAGGAAAATAATATTACATATCTAGGTGTAGGCCACAATCTATAGTAAATACACATAGAAGTCCAAAGTCCAAACAAAGATAACAATTGTGTTATTGGGAAATGGCCATTCAAACAAAAATAAAAATAGTAATAAATCTTCCCCATATAAACAAGATAAATACCTGAGTCTGGGCATCATCTCCTGTGACAATGTTTCCAACTGTCCGAAGAGCAGGTATAAGAACAGTAGGTGAAGGATGTCTGATATAAAAAAATCAAAAAAAAAAGTTGGTTATGGTAATTTTACTATTTCCATCCATGACCAAAAATACAATATAGAGAAGATAAACAAAACCAGCTCTTGGGGGAAAATGGTAGTTACAAAAATCCTCCTACACTTAAACAAAAAGCTTCGGTAACAGCAACTATATATCTGTTACAAGAAGTTTCCTTTTAAGTAAAACCCAAGGTTGAGAAGTGCTTCAATAGAATCTTACAGGAGAAGCTCCACAAGTCGTTGACAGACTCCTGCCTCAATCACAGCCTGAATTTTGTCATTTGTGCCATCAGAAAGATAAGACAAGGCCCAGCATGCGTCCGTTAGAACTTCTTCATCACTTGAGTGGATAAGGTGCTGAAGGGCTGGCAGTGCAGGCTTCACCTGACAAAAGACAGCACAGTAATAGTAAATTAACAGGTCTAAGAATATACATCCTCTTCAAAAGTAATCCTAGCAAATTAACATAACTCCATAGATGTCTCACCTGGTCAAATGGTGCTGGTGGCTTGCCACGACAAAAATTCGATAAGGTCCAGGTAGCATTCCGTAGCATAGATAGCTTTGAGTGTTCATTTAACTGAGCCAGTAATGGCATGAGGGCACCATGACCAAGAACAAGATCCCTACAGGTTGGTGAGTCACCAGCTACGTTACCCAAGGCCCACACAGCCTGAGAGAGAGAGAGAGAGAGAGACAGAGAGAGAGAATGAGACCACTTCTCCAAGGACCAAAAAATTGACAAAGGAAACTCGAACTAACCTGTTCTCGGACATCATCACTTGATGAACTAAGAAGTTGCACAAATTTAGGGACAGCACCATGGTCAATGACAACACGTGTATGTTCTGATGTCCCAGATGCAATATTAGTCAAAGCCCATGCAGCCTCAAACTGCACATGAAGATTTAATTAAACCTAATGAAAGTTGGACAATAGTTCCTTTGCATGGAGTATATAATTCAAAGAAAAGAGGGATGGTTATAAATGGTCCATACTTGCAGTTGAGGCAGATCATGCCTTTCAAGAAATTCAACAAACCGAGGTACAACACCTGCCTTGATTACCTCCTCAATGGGAGGGCTACGCTCTGCACAAGTATGTAAACCAAAACCCAGCAGAACTAATTACCAGGAAACCAGGGAAAGACCAGTGAAAAAATCCATCCCAATTCAAGTAATGTCAAACTTACCAATTGATAGTAATTTCCTGAATTGAGTAGTTGCTTCCAATTGCAAAGCAGGATTGTCTGACCATACCCCTTGTACCATTACAGGAAGACTTTCCAACTGTCAGAGAACACCAGGAGCAAAAAAAATAAACACCAAAATTTTGGTTACAGCATGAGCTGAAAGTGTAAAATATTTGCTAATTACTGTAGATTTCTTAATAATTAATATTTTAAGAACCAATTAGACATGGCAAATGACATTATATAATCAATTTCTTCTAGCAACTAGCATGTTCCAAGTTATCCCATCATTTATTTTTCACCAGCCTACCTACAAACTTCAAGGGCACTTTTTGGGAATTCTTCTTTTCAGATTCTTAGCAGGTAACATTTTCCTTCCCTCCATTGGATTAACATGCGACTGCCCTACATACTGGTCATGCTGAGCACTTTTGTATGAGAAGCCTCCAAAAAAAAAAAAAAACAAAAAAAAAAAAACTGAACAAGTGCAATGTCCTCAAATGAAAGAAGAGAGATTTCAACTTCTTATGATTGAATGCTCTCTCGTTGAGCTTGCAAGCTAACGAATTCATCATCCATATGCTTTTCCACTGCCAAATTGCTAGGATGCATTGACCTTCTTCCTTGAAATATTTGGATTTTGGAAATACGTGGATAATTCTGGCTACTTTGCTTAATTTATTTTAGTAATCTAAGTATGAGAAGGTAAAAAATGTAGTCCTTATGATTCACCAAGGTTCAGCACTTAACCCTTATTTATTTTCATTGATAAGCATATTCAGGAGAAGGTCCCATGGCGCATGTTGTTTGCTGATAACATTGTTTTAATTCATGAAACTAATGAGGGATTAAATGCAAAATTAAGCTTATAGGCAAATACCTTAGAAACAAGAGATTTTAAAATAAATAGGACTAGAACAGAATATATGATATGTTCATATTGGTGCCCCTTAGAGAGTGCCCCACATGCACATCTCACCATGCATTGGGAACATCTCCCAAACTTGTCATTGGGAGATGTTCCCAATACACGGTTGGGATGTGTTGTGGGGCGCCCATGCAAATTTGTAAATACAATTATTAGTGTTTTAAAAGCACAAGAGCCATTTTGCGCCCGGGGTACAAGGCACAAGGCAAGGTGCACACCTTTTTGAATAAAAGCGTAAAAATGCAAAAACAATTCTACAAATAAAAAAGCCAAAAATTCAAAAGAAATGCAAAATATTAAAAATGTTAAACACATTATCAATTAAAAATATAAACTTATATTTTCAAATAAAATCTTGAAAAAAAAACCTACTCTCAAATTAAAATATATAAACATAACATGTAAAACATAATTACAATGAAAACTTAAATATAAAATCAAGCATAACATATAAAACATATTCAAGCATGTAAACTCTTAGTCTCTTTATTTTTTTTCCCAATTGCATATA